ACTAATACTGAAGAGATGAGTCATCTTGACCAGGAAAACATTCCCGCCGTTTCTGTTTCAGTGGAGATTGACACTTCGGCAACAGCAGAATCTTCATCAGGCGTCAACCTCGCCTCTGATTGTCCAGCAACAGCTTTTTCACCAGCTGTGCAGCCTACCACAGCCGCAAATGAGCCAGCTGAAGCTGAGGACGTAGAGTCCCCCAGTTACAAGTCCTCTGATGGTAACGAGAGCAACGTGGATGACATTGGTGAAGCTGCATCAACACCGGACGTCTCTAATGAGGTGAACTTTGCCGATGAGTTTCCTTTGTCAACAGCCTCCTTATTGTCCTCTCATCAGCAGTCGCCCTCAACCAATGCAGAAAGTGAGTTAACAGAAAAACGACCCCTAACTCCGACAGTTGAGCAGTTGGACGATGAAAATCACTGCACTTCAAAGAAATCTAAAACTAAAACTGAAGAGATGAGTCATCTTGACCAGGAAAACATTCCCGCCGCTTCTGTTTCAGTGGAGACCGACACTTCGGCAACAGCAGAACTTTCATCCAGCGTCAACCTCGCCCCTGATTGTCCAGCAACAGCCTTTTTGCCAGTTGTGCATCCTACTACAGCCGCAAATGAGCCAGCTGAAACTGAGGACGTGGAGTCCTCCAGTTACAAGTCCTCTGATGGTAACGAGAGCAAAGTGGATGACAATGATGAGGCCGCATCACCACATGAAGTCTCTAATGAGGTGAACTTTGCCGAGGAGTTTAATTTGTCAGCAGCCTCATCATCGTCTTCAGCTTGTCAGCAATCGCCTTCGACCAATCCCGAAAGTGAATCGACAGCAAAACGACCACTAACTCCGACAGTTGAGCAGTTGAACGATGAGAGTCACTGCATTTCAAAGAAGTCTAAATCTAAGACTGAAAAGATGAGTCATCTTGACCAGGAAAACATTCCCGCTGCTTCTGTTTCAGTGGAGACCAACACTTCGGCAACAGCAGAACCTTCATCAGGCGTCAACCTCGCCCCTGATTGTCCAGCAACAGCTTTTTCACCAGCTGTGCAGCCTACCACAGCCGCAAATGAGCCAGTTGAAGCTGAGGACGTGGAGTCCTCCAGTTACAAGTCCTCTGATGGTAACGAGAGCAAAGTGGATGACATTGGTGAAGCTGCATCAACACCGGACGTCTCTAATGAGGTGAACTTTGCCGATGAGTTTAATTTGTCAGCAGCCTCATCATCGTCTTCAGCTTGTCAGCAATCGCCTTCGACCAATCCCGAAAGTGAATCTACAGCAAAACGACCACTAACTCCGACAGTTGAGCAGTTGAACGATGAGAGTCACTGCACTTCAAAAAAGTCTAAAAAAACAGAAAAGCTGAGTCATTTTAACCAGGCGAACAATCTCTTTTCCTCCGTTTCAGTGGATGCCGAAATCTTGAGAAAAATTTTGGCTAATGTTCAATTGCGAGCTCTATCACAGTCGCTAAAATTTTCTGCTGAAGAGGAAAATCTAGAAGAGGAGAATCAGAAAAAACAGCAGCAACAACCTGAAACTGAAAAACCGAATCAGCTGGCCATTGATTTGCCACTAGGATCAGGCGAATTTCAGCCAGATTATATCAATGCTAAAGCTAGCGATGAAGAAGAGGTGAACACCTCGCCACCACCAATGGAACATTTAAAACCAAACGAAAAAAGTATCAGTCCATTTTTGCCGCTTTCTGGCGTTGCAGAAAGTTTCTGCCCCTTTGACACAATCGTCCAAGCTGTGGCCACTTCTCCAGCGACACATGTCGTTGAAACAACTTCAAACCCTCAATCGACTTCATTTCTTCAGGAGCAAGTCCAACAGTCATCATATGATTCTTTTCTTATCAATCCTGTTGATCGTACACCAGATGAGACTCCTAAATCAAACACTAACATCGTTTTAGTGTTGATGGGGGCTGCAGAGTCATCAAACCGAGACCAAAAAGAGGAAAATGCAGACGACGATAAAACTGACAAAGTGGATGAAGATACCGAAAATGAGGCAAACAAACGCAAAGACAATGTGGCTGACAAAATGAACGAGGATGAAAAAAAATCGGACAACGACAATGACAATGAGGCTGACAAAATGGACGAGAATGAAGAAGATAAGAACAAAGACAAGATTGATATTGAAAACGACAATGATGACGAGGCGGAAAACGAAGAGGATGACGATGATGAGTCTTACAAAGGGGACGAGGATGAAGAGAAAGACGACGATGCTGAAAAGGATGACGAAGGTCCGCAGGGAGACCATGGCCAATCTGAAACCGATAATGACGATAAAAACGACAAAGAGGGAAATGACAACGACTCAGACAGGGCCGAGTCCAGTGACCAGGACGAGCCAAAGTCGGAAAATCAGCCTAAAAACGAGAACAGCAACACTGAAGAGGAAATGGTCATGGACGTTGAAGAGAGATCTCAAGAGGTGAACACTGAAGAGCAGTCAGAAAACAGTCCGGTTTTGCCTTTTGACAAGGATAATCTTCACGCTAAAACGGATGATGTTTTCTCTTCAATCATTCTTTCAACTGCTAAAACAGTTGAAACTGAGAAAATCTGCCTCACTGTACCCTCATCTGCTGAAGCCAGCACTGCTGAACCCGATAGTGACAATGAAAATGACAAAAATGGAAACGACAACGACTCAGACAATGCCGGGTCCAGTTACCAGGACGTTCCAAAGTCGGAAAAACAGCCTGAAAACAAAAACAACACTAAAGAGGAAATGGACATAAATGTTGAACAGAAATCTCCAGAGGTGAACACTGAAGAGCAGTCGGAAAACAGTTCGATTTTGCTTATTGACAAGGATAATCTTCACCTTCAAACGAATGATGTTCTTTCCTTGCTCATTCTCTCTGTTGTTAAAACAAATGAAAACAAAAAAATCCGTTCTACTTTACCCTCATTTACTGAAACTATCACTGTTGAAACGCTGAAAATCAGTGAAACAGAGGAGAAAGAAACAGAAAGTCTTCGTTCCTCTTCAGACGACATCGACGTGGATGACACTGCTAAGCCTGCATCACCAAAGGAAGTCTCTAATGGGGTGAACGGCTTTGAAAGTGGTGATGAGGAGGACGGTGAAGTACTGGATGGCAACAAAACCAAGGATGATGCTCGCTTTTCTTCAAACAGTGAGCTGGACATTGATGAGCCCGCATCACTACAGGAAGTCTCGAATGAGGATAACCTTGCCGATAATTTTCCTTTGCCAGCAGCTTCAGCACCGTTCTCAGCTTGTCAACAGTCGCTCTCGACCAATGAGCCAGAGAGTGAATCAACAGCAAAACGACCACTAACTCCGAGAGTTGAGCAGTTGGACGATGAAAGTCACTGCACTTCAAAGAAGTCAAAAACTAATACTGAAGAGATGAGTCATTTTAACCAGCCAAACATTCCCGCCGCTTCTGTTTCATTGGAAACCGACACTTTGACAACAGCAGAACTTTCATCCAGCGTCAACCTCGCCTCTGATTGTCCAGCAACAGCCTTTTTGCCAGCTGTGCATCCTACCACAGCCGCAAATGAGCCAGCTGAAGCTGAGGAAGTGGAGTCCTCCAGTTACAAGTCCTCTGATAGTAACGAGAGCAAAGTGGATGACAATGATGAGGCCGCATCACCACATGAAGTCTCTAATGAGGTGAACTTTGCCGATGAGTTTAATTTGTCAGCAGCCTCATCATCGTCCTCAGCTTGTCAGCAATTGCCTTCGACCAATCCCGAAAGTGAATCTACAGCAAAACGACCATTAACTCCGACAGTTGAGCAGTTGAACGATGAGAGTCACTGCATTTTAAAAAAGTCTAAAACTAATACTGAAGAGATGAGTCATCTTGACCAGGAAAACATTCCCGCCGCTTCTGTTTCAGTGGAGACCGACACTTCGGCAACAACAGAACCTTTATCCAGCGTCAACCTCGCCCCTGATTGTCCAGCAACAGCTTTTTCACCAGCTGTGCAGCCTACCACAACCGCAAATGAGCCAGCTGAAGTTGAAGAGGTAGAGCCCTTCAGTATGAACGTTGAAGGCAGTAGTAGCAGTGCAGAAGTCACCGCCGTCATTTCAGCTGAAGTTAGCGGTCTGATGGCGAAAACACTTGAAAAGACGTTCAGCAGCAATGCCGTCGATGAGAGCGGAGATGATTCAAGCGGTGATGGCAGCGATGACCACCACCACCACCAGGCAGCCACTGAGGAGATCAGCCATGAGGATCACCAGATGCCTGAAGCCAAAAACGCTGACTCACACAACAACAATAGCCTTCTCGGTGCAAGGAGCTTCATCAGAGCTGGCGAAAAGCTGCCGTCACCTGCCGACACTGTCGTCCAAGAGGTACTGTCAGCGGACGAAGTACAGTCGTTGGAGCTTTCGACAGCATCTCCGACTGATGCCGATGCTTCATCGCCATCCTCATCACCTAAATCACCTCCCCATCCACCACTATCATCATCATCACCCTCATCACACTCCTTCATCATTCCATCTAACCTATCAGTTCAGCCATTTCACCCATCTTCACCACTGTTTTCACCTTTACCAGCAGCCCCCTCTTCATCATCATCTTGTTGCATATTACAATCACCATCACCAGAATTCATACTAGCAACCGAATCACTACGTTCACAAACAACCTCATCATCACTATCATCATCATCATCATCATCATCACTAACATCCGTTGACCCATCAATACTAGGATTGCTTTCACAATCACCACCTTCACCACCTTCATCTCATTCCTTATCCTCACATCCATCATCATCCTCACCAACAATTCCAACATCATCATCATCACCACCACCAACAGCAGCACCTAAATCGCCCTCATCCTCACCATCATTTCATCACTCTTCCTCATCTGAAACATCTCACCTGCGACCAACGCCACCCTTATCATCACTTAAAGTATTGCCTGTATTGCCTTCTCAAGAGCAATCAAATTCATTCGGAAATGAGCAGGATAAACTCAAAAATAAATCCGATGATGAAAACAGCAAAAAGAAGGCGCAAAACATTTTAGAAAATTCCAGCAACAGTGAGTTTTTTTCTGAAGATAAATCGCCTGAATGTGTAAGTGTTTGACCTTTTTATTGTCTTTTTTGTACTGTAAAACTAATCTAAAAAAAGTTTTCTTTTGACCAGGAACTGGTTATTGTTGAAAAAGCTGAACTAGCCACATCATCATCATCATCATTAGTGGCAGCAGAAACAGCAGTTCCTTACGTATACCAGGAAAACACTTCGCCAGTTACACAGGAATCTCCTTCTGAAATGGAAAACTTTTTACAGAACTTTTGGGAAACACCTGATGAGCAGAAATCAAATGACAATGCTCACATTACAAGCAACGATGAAGGCATTGTTGTGGCCAATATCATGCCCAACGTGGCATCATGTGTAAGTGTTTGCATAACATTCTTAAAAATTGGTTGTGATTCTAAGCACATTTTTATGATTAGGTTGCCAGCAGCTCAACTGGATTTCAACTTTCTCCACCACTAACAACCACAACAACAACAACAACAACAGCAGTACTTAGTTCAGCACACCAAATGAACGTTCATTTGAGCCTGGAAAACTCAACTGAGCCGCTGAAATGCTTTCAATCCAATTTCATCAATTCTGCAGTACTGCCCTCAACCACACCAGAAAACAATGTGACTGACAGCGGGTGCTTTTTGGAACAGCGAAACAGTAAAAATGTACGCATTTTTAAATGTTAACAATTTTCACTTTTTCTTGTACTAAACACTAATCACTGCTTTTTTACTTACTAAACAGGAAATTGTCCCTGAAGCTGAATTATCATCATCATCATCATCAGCAGCACTGTCACTGAAAAACTCTGTTTTTCAGCAAGCAAGCTCACCAGCTCAGGCTGTGGAGGGGCCAAGTGATGGTGAGAACCTCGATGAGCCGCCAATTGAAGCGCTCGCAATTGTGCAAAATGAACAAGTTGTGGTGAACAATGAAGAGCAGGCAAAGCAATCAGCAGTTAATGAAGAAGTTGACGTTTTGAATTTAAATTCATTTTTTGCTGAGCAGTGTGAAACGGTTGAAACAGAAAGCTTTGAAGTGCCTGTTGACAGGGGAGCAATTCTTCATTCAGAGTATCATCAACAAATTTTTGAAAGCACATTTTCAGACATGAACACTAGTCACGGTAAAGTAAAAAATTGTGCTATGCATTTCAAGCCTGTTTTAATTTTGAAAATTGGTTTAAAATTATAGATTCGCTTTCAGTCTCTCAAAGTACCGGCACGACCAACTCGGAGGATATTTTAGGAATTGCTGTACAGGCGTCTGGAATTATTAGCTATAAAGAGCAGCAAAACAACTCAAACGTTCTTTCTTTACCACTTCAATCAGCTGTGAGCTCAGCAAGCTCATTTCACCCTCAGTATTCGGTACACTTTTTTGTCCTTAATTTTACACTAACACTAATTCTTTACGATGTTTGTGTTTACAGAACTATGGTGATTCAATGAGCTCATTCAAACATCCACCACCACTGTCTACAGCTTTTCAACAGATGCCTCAACTGGAGACACAGCCACAGCTCAAACAAAAGCGAAAGAACACCGCAGCAGGAGCAGGCAGAAAAAGGGCAACTAAGCAAAGCAAGCTAAGTTTGTTGCAAAATTTGGTACCGCACAATGCGTCTGCCAATGCAGCTTCACTTGCTTTGCTTGCAATTCCGCAAGGAAACTCTGCAAACGCTCTTGCAACTTCCTCGGCAGCTTTCAGCCACCTGAACATGACAGACTTAGCAAAATCATCTTATTCTTGGTTTTCCCAATCTAATCAGTCTAATCATCGTCATCAGTCAGTTCAACCTGCAGTTTATGCTAATGACAACAGCAGCAGCAGCAGCAGCCGCAACATAACAGCAATGTCCATTTCTAGTCCAAACCAGTTCAACCCTGGCTCAAACTTAAAAAGCACAAGTCAGTCAGTAGAGAAGACAATGAGACATGGTGGCATGCTGCCAAAAGCTAGCAATCAGAATGAATTCGGAGCAAACCAGAGCTTTTCTCAGTCAGGCTGTACTGCTGATCAAGCTGTTTCCTATCGAACAGGAGCTAGAGCCCAAACAGTCAACCGATCTGATACTGCCACTGCTTTTAGTCAATTAATTGAGACTGTTAGAGACAGCTTTGTCCAAAATCCATCAACGGACTATTCTCAGTCCGCTGAAACGACTTCTCAGTGCTCTGCAACGACTTCTCAGTGGCAGAGTTCTCTGGCATATTGTGATCAAAATCAACAGCGGCAACAGGAGCCAGCACTTGTTCAGCTTGGCAGTGGAATGAGCTACTTTAATTCCCTTCCACCGAACGGAAACATAGGCAGTAGTGTCCGTAGCAGTTGCAGCAGAAACAACAGCAGCATTCACAACAATAACAACAGCTACATTTCTAGCGTGGGAACAAATGCTCAACCGATTTTCCCTCAGCTGCCATCATCATCAACAGCAACAGCAGCAGCTGTAGCAGCCACCTCTTTTTCCACCCATTATAATGTCTCAATGGGGGCAAATGCCAATTTGAATGCTGCCGACATCAGTCAGTTTCCGTCTGCCACTGTGACCACCGCCGCTGCTCATGTGCTCACTAGCTCTTCTAGGCCTGCTGCTGCTGCTGCCTCAATGGCGCCCAGTCTCGCTCATTTCCCACCTTCGAACACCTCTATGTCCACTGCCGTTACCAGCAATGCTAGCTCACTGCAATTTGGCAGTGGAGAGAGCTCTGCTTTTCAAAGTATTCCCTCTCAGGCGCAGATTGGAACTGCTGATGCTCGAAAAGCAGCCGGCGTTGCAG